GCCATCGATAGGGGGCCATTCGATATCGACATACCTGAGTTCATTTTCCGAAGCTCATTCAATGTCGCTTGTATTTCCGTTCAAGGCAAAACGATGAGGAAATAATAAAATATTTGCACGCTTAGTCATTTTCAACGAATGTTCTGACATATTCTGTTGTATAATACAAATTTCTTTTATGTGACTGAGAAGTCAAAAACAATCAAAAATATAAGTCGCTCGGTGAGTGTACTCCCTTCCAAACTATTTTAGAGCCATGAAATGTTTTGTCGTAGCTAGCGTTGCCAACTGCCCTTTAATTCAGCGCATAGTCCCAAAATTAAGCTTATCTTATCTGCAACTTAATGAAGTTGCAAAGGACGCAGTTAGTACGTAATCTTTGGCATCGCTTTTACTATAAAATTTTGAAGAAAATTACTTTATACAGATCAGCATCATATTGTCACAAGACGCACACATGGCCAATTATTAAGGGCATAAAACGGCTTGATAGAATTTAGAAAACTGTTATTCCCAACAAAAAACCATCAGTAGCCAAATTAGTAAAACATTTTTAAACTGCCAATTAAGGTTATTGTTTAATATTTGAGATTCCAGCCTACATAGACGTATGCTGTCAATCATGTTTTGTCGGCGTACGATTGAATCATCTCATTGGCATACACGACCAGTATAACCCATGGAAGTTGGTCGCAAGATAGTAAAGTTCAGTGTGGCGATCGGGTCGTGAATAAAGCACCGTTAGGTCAGGTACCGAATAGTATAGCACCGTAGGTCAAAGATAGGTAAGTTGTGGCAGATAGGGCAGTGGGTTCGAGGATATGTAGGTTGAGGGAGATAGGACAGTAGGTTGAAATGAGAGAGGTTGAGGGAGATAAAGCGGTGGTTCGAGGATGAGAAAGTTGGGGGAGGTATAGCAGTGGGTCGAGGGTTGAGAGATAGCGTAGTGGGTCGTGGATAGGGAGGTTGAGGGAGCTAGGGCAGTGGGTCGAGGATAGGAAAGTTGAGGGAGGTCGGGCAGTGGGTCGAGTATAGGTAATTAGATGGAGATAGAGCGGTGGTTCGAGGATGTGAGAGTTGAGGGAGGTGGGGCAGTAATTTTGGCCCGCAAACGACGCAAGTTTGCCGGCCTCTGGTTTAGACTTCAGACAGAGCCAGTGAAGTCCCTCCACTTTCCTATTCTCGATCCTCTGCCCTGTCTCCCTCGACCAACTGCTCCACCTTCCTATCCTCGAGCCATCTCCTTCAACCGTCCTATCCTCGACCCACTGTCCTATTTCCCATCCCCTTCGACCTCTTTATCCTCGTCTCATTGCCATAGTTCCGTCAACTTTCTTTACTCTATCCACTGCACTATCTGCCTCAAATTTCCCACTCTCGACCCACTTTCCGACCTCCATCAACTTACTTATCTTCGACCTACGACACTATACAACTCAGCCCCTAACCTAACGGCGCTACGATCACGACTAGATCGTCAAAAAGAACTCCGTCATTACGCAACCAACTTCCATGTGTTATACTGGCCGAGTATGCCAATGAGATGATTCAATCGTACGTCGACAAAACATGATTGACGGCATTCGTAAATGTAGGCTGGAATCTCAATTGGTAATCAATAACCATAATGAGTGGCTTAAAAATGTGCTACTAATTAAGCTACTGATGGCGTCGGGTTTGAGGTGACTGTTTTTAAAATGTTGAAAGGCCATTCAAATGAAAGCGTTTGACATGGTCAATCATATCTTCATTCATAAGCTGCTAGCAAAAATCGGGGTTGGAACAAGAACATGTAATCTAATAAAATCCCTGTACTCGGACATTAGAAGTACCATAGAAGTAAACGGAGCTTTCACATCTGAGATCCATATCGTGAGAGGAATCCGCCAAGGATGCCCCCTAAGCATGTTATTATACACTTTAAATATCGAACCAATCGCGAGAGCCGTAACAAAAAATATATACATCAGAGGCATCAAACTCGGGAAAAAGGAAGAAAAAATAGAACAATTCGCCGACGACACTAGCTTAGTAACAACAACACTCTATTCCTTAGAACTCGTCTTTAAAGAATTCGGGATCTTCCAGCAAGCAACCGGCCAAGCCTTGAACATGGAAAAATCACAAATTTTATGTATAAATGAAGAGGCAGAACTGCGTTTAAAGGACAATTGGCTAAATAAATACCGACACGACACCGTCAAAATATTGGGGGTTTATTACGGGAAAGAAGTAAAATACAAAGTGCAAGATGAAAAGATTCGTAAAATTACCCAAATTTTAAACAACACAAAGTCGCGTCATTTAACATGGCGTGGAAAACTTTTGATAATACAATCTCTCGCTCTACCGTTAACACTACTGGAAGCTAAAACAAGAATAATACCAACCCGATACCTTAACAATATTCAGTCCATATTTTTTAAATATCTATGGTATCCTGAATACCTAGAGAGTATCGCTCGGAAAACGTTGCTCCTTCCCGTGAGAAAGGGCGGAATAAGTATGATAGATATTAAACTAAAATCTCATGCATGTCTTTTCCAAAAACTGACCACAATACTTAGCATAAATGCCCCAACCGAATTCTGGCACTTTGAGGCGCTATATACTCTCGGCGCGAGAATAAGAATCTTCGACAAGTCGCTATACAACAACTCGGCACCCCATGCACTCCAAATAGACCAGCACTGGCAGCATATCCTGAATATTGGTTATATTATGGACCTTGGCCAATCCGAAAGGGAAGGAGCAACCTTGCGCTTTCTTTACGATAGGTTGAAAGAGAAGTCTTATGAATTCGACCGAACAGAAATATGTGAATGGCCAAAAATACACTTAGCAGATGACCGACTAAAGCAACACTTTTCAAATGCCGAACGACAAACGTCATATAGGATTAAGAGAGATGGGTACCTCTTTGGCCAGGAAGTGGAGGTTTGGTATATTACGAAACAACGAAAACTCTCACTTGCTGAAATTGAACTGCAAATTTCTGTAGAGAAAACCCGGATACCACTCCCACATCTTTCTGAGGTGCCCCCAATATCTAAAGCTTCATAACTCAGTTAGCCAAACACTGGAAATTATAACAGGCCACAAAATTACCATTAAGTCGGCAACAAATATTCGACAACACTTTTGAAGATAAATACCAACTTGTTGTACTCAAAATTTTCTCTGTACTAAAATCTGAAGTCATCCAACTAAAAATTGAATTAGACAGGCAAAATAGATATGGAACCGTCTGCGATATAGAAAGTGTATATCAAAGAGTAATATCAAAATTTACTCATTATATGGACAACGTAATACTTACGCTTGGATCAGCCCAAATATTTGAACTCAGGCCAGACTGGAAAACTCTACTACTTCAGAACAGAGTAGCGACTTAGCCCCCCCCCCCCCCATAATAACTGCATCCCCGCCCCCCACAAACGGGAGCGTAAAACTGCTAATACCATCACAACCCCTACGGAAATGATGAAAAGGTAGCTTCACGGTGGATGTCATGCTGTGTGCGCGCTACACGTCTTCACACAGTATGCACGGAAGCCAGGGCAGCGGAAGTTGAGCTATGCATGACATTAACGGAAGCCCTGGGCTAACGTCATGCTATCTGGCAAATAGCATGTACAGAAGCTCGGGGTAGAAGTTTTTTACCGTGCAATGCATAGCATATACGGAAGCTCCCAGATATGTATGACGGTCGTGTACCCCGCGACATGACTACGAAGCGTTAGTACCGATGTGACTCGGATATGACGTGTCTTTGAGACACTGATCCGAGACCAGAAACTCTGATCCGTAAATAGAAAAAAAAAAAAAAAAAAAAGAAAGGCCATTCGATATCGACATACCTGAGTTCATTTTCCGAAACTCATTCAATGTATCAGTATCAGTAATTTATTTTTTCCACCATTTGAAAATACGCAAGCTACATATACAGAATAAAATAAAAGAAGAATAGCATTTCGGGGTGGAGGGAAACGCTGAAAAACCAGTACTGGTTATCGAGCAGCGACACCCTAGATGGGGTCTAACACAGCATGACGAAATAACATGAAATAGAAAGCTTAAAATGAATATGAATGAAAAAGCAAAATAATCACACTAAATAAAATTGTATATTGGAAACGTTCAAGTATCCACGGCAACTGCTCAGCTGAAGCACTGGCTGCGGGCGAGTGTACAGTTAACGTCAAACCTGATAGCCGGAAGGATGTCGGTATTGCAGTAGGAAATTAAAGATTCTATTCAATGGATTGGACAATAAATAACAGGTAACAATAAATACTACAGTATTTTTTATATCTAATTTATGTAGGACATGAAACTGTAGCAAATAACATGTCCACAATGAGCAGAAGATTGAAATGTGTAACAACAATTGGTAAGTAGACTACTAGTGTAGAGGTGATACAATTCATAATGACAATAGATGCAAAAAAATATAAGAAAAAATTTAACATTTATTATCATATAGCGTGTAATGGACTAAAATGGTGGAGACTGAAGTCTGAGTTATTAACCCAGCTCCATGTAGAACTCAGGTGCTTTTAAGACATGGAATTGATTGATTGCGTGGCATAAATGAGCTTACTGCACATAGTAAGATTAGGGTGATACGCTTAAGATACTGTTATATCCAAGTACATGCCACTGGTCCCAGATAGGGAAGATATTGAATGGAATTTGAGCAAATCACAAAAAGAAGATACGAATAATTATCATTCCAGGTATTAAAGACCCAACAGCTTGAAGTGTGGTCAAATGTTGAGCTGACAATAGTAAGAAAACAAGACTCAGACATGATATCAACTGGAAGATGTGGCGGCACCGGATTGGTAAGTGGAGATCAAGAATTTTTTGTATTTAGCTTTGAACATATTGTATGTTGTATCACGCAAGGTTTGAGGAATGCTATTCCAAGTTACTACTCCTTTGTATTTCAAAGAGTTTTGGGATTTACTTGAGAGAAAGCGGGGTACAAAAAAATTTGACTTTGCGGAAGAGCGAGTATGATGTTCGTGCACAGACCTAATCGAAAAAAAAAGTAATTGTCAAAGGCTGCCGGTAATCGATTGTTTCGGAACTGATGCATGATTTTAGAAACCTCAAGCTTGTGGATGTCAGACAATTTAAGCACATTAGTTTTGAGATATATCTTATTTAAATTAAAACGAACAGGTGCTCTAGAGAGGATTCTAACAGCCCTGTTTTGTAACAATTCCAATTTGTGCAAATTTGTAGGGGCTGCAGAGCCCCATGTAGCTATGGCGTATTGAATGTGGGACTGGAAGAGAGAAAAGTATACGGTCCGCAGGGTCTAGTCTTGAACATAAAATCTCAGTTTACCCAGAATCCCGGTTGATCGTGATAATTTTTTATGTATTTCAGTGATATGAGTATTCCATTTCAGTTGATTGTCAAAAAAGAGTCCAAGATATTTATATGAGCTGACAACTTCTAAAGATATACCCTTAATTTTGATTGTAAGATTTACATTTCCAGAACGCGCTTTCGGGTTAAATAGCATTACTTTAGATTTGTCAATGTTAATTGTGAGTTTGTTGCATGCCATCCAATTGTGTATTTTATTTATTTCAGTGTTTGTGTTGGTTTGAAGAGTTATCAAATTCTTCGCGCTATTGAGGAGGCAAGCATCGTCAGCGAAAAGTTTGCTTAAAAGATTTGATGAGTTCGATAAATCATTTATGTATAATAAAAATTTAAGAGCACCCAACACAGAACCTTGAACAACTCATGGGCAACATTGGAGACTTATGAGAATCCACCTCCACAAATTGATATCTACCAAGCAGGTAATCACATAGTAGATTACCGGCTGTACCTCGAAAACCGTAATGCTTTAGCTTTTGGATAAGAATGTTGTGGTCAACGGTGTCAAACGCTTTCTTTAGATCTAAGAAGGTACAACAGACAAGCTCACCTTTATCAATTTTATCGTAAATATACGAGGTTAGGTCTACAATAGCATGGCTGGTAGAATGACTCGTTTGGAATCCAAATTGACATTTGTTGATAAGATTAAATTTAGAGCAATAATTCAGCATTCTTTCTTTTATTATTTTTTCTAGAACAATGCCTATGGTGGGGAGGATGGAAATTGGCCGATAATTGGACGGGTTATTTTTGTTGCCATTTTTGAAAATTGGAATTACCCTAGCTATTTTTAATGAGGAAGGGAAAATGCCTAAACTAAATGATAAATTGAAGAAATGACTTAGAGCTGGAGATACAATATCAGCGATTATTTTAAGAAAATAGGTTGGAATACCATCTGGACCAACTGCTTTGCCTTTATTCAGGTTCAAGATTATTTGATGAACTTCGGGAGGTGTCGTTTGCCCGAGAAAAAAATAATTTTGTAAAGGAGCGCCTAAGAAGTCAGTGGGTGACTTAGAGCTATGTGGGATTTTATCTGCAAGTTTCTTGCCTACAGTGGAAAAGAACTTATTGAACTCTGAGGCCATTATTACGGGGTCTTTAACAATGGAACCATTTTCAAGTTTCAATTATTGGATGGTGGAATTATCACTGGACTTAACTTTGATAATCTCATTGATAGTCCTCCAAGTTCGTTTAACGTCCCCTCTGTTTTATCAAGGATATTATGGTAATACTGTTGCTTGGATTTTCTCAGTAAATGTAACAGAATATTTGTATTTGTAAAGTAAAGACGCTGAGATGCATTGCCCTTCAAAAACTTTTTTTGAACATGCTGTTTTTATGTTTGATGGACTTACGAATTCCCTTGGTAAACCAAGGTTTGGAATATAATTTATTTCTCTTCGAGAACGAGGTCGTAATGGTGCATGTTTATCAATCAGCCATTTTAATTGGCTGAGAAAGAGGTCAAACGAATTATTGAAATTATCTATGCCTAAAGTGGGACTGGTATAATTTTTACATATTGACTCAGCCTCTAATCTAAATAAGTCTTCAGAAAATTTTCTCATGTCGCGTTTTAAGCGAGTTTTTGACTTGATATTAATACCAGTAGTTGAAATTGTACACATTATTGGAAAGTGATCGGTAAGATCACTAAGGAGAATAAATGATGATGAACAAGATTTTATGTTACTAGTATAAATATGGTCTATTAGGGTTTGTGAGGACAGGGTGACTCTTGTCGGTCGTGTAATAATTGGGAATACAAAATTTGACGCAAGCAAGTCCAAATACTTGGATGTGGAATTGTCACGGCTATCAAAAAGGTTAATATTAAAATCACCTAGAATCAGGAATTGCTTTCTTGCCATTGTCAGCTTTTCGAATAAAGTAACCCATTGCTCCCGTAAATAATGGAATGTTGTTTTTTGGTGCTATACATTGCTCGATAATAAGGCTTTGGGTTTTGGAATTTGGTTGAGAATAGTTGATCTCAATCCATAAATCCTCACAATTCGGAAACGATAGGTTGAATTCATTATTAACTTGGAAGTTTATGTTGTTCCTGATATAAAAACCCACACCACCCGCTTGAGTTATGGAGGGAACATAGAGAAAAGTGTATCCCGGAATATCAAAATTGAGAACAGCGGTATTGCTTTTAATTCTGGTCTCGCTCAGGGCAATTATATGTGGCAGTATACGAAAATTAGAGATCAGATGAACTAAATCATCGTAATATTTTGCTAGGGACCTAATATTGAAATGTATTGCAATAAGCTCTGAGAGAAGAAAACTAGAGGACACATTATCGATATCTTGTATTTCGAGGTATTGACTAGGGAATGATGTTACGTGGGGATGGAAACTAAGTGATTCCCAATTTAAGTTAGGCTTGGCAGGATAGCTCTGGCACTTATAGAATTGCAAGATAATAGTTTTGCTTGGAGAGATAAAAAGTTAGAGTTTACCACACACTGGGGTGGGTTTAGTTATATTGACATAAGACACAAAAAATAGGCAAGGATCACATTATATGAATTTTGTCAAGACGTTTTTTAAGTCTGTCATATCACTATAAGGATGATTTATTAGTAGTAGGATTAAAAGAGATGGAACTTATCTTATTTTGTCCAAGTCTTCCTCATCTGTTATAGGTAAAGTGTTTGTGTCTTTGTTTTTCTTTATTAATACCTTTCCATTTGATGTCCATAAAAAGGCATAGCCACATCGTCTTTTCATAACTTTTGCTTGATAAAACAAGTTTCTTGTTTTATCTGTCAGGTTCTCAACGATGAAAACTCTGGAAATATTTCTTATTCTTGAATATGCCAGCGGTTTTCAAGAGGTGGCGATTTTTGAGGATTCTTGCTCTGATTTTCCGGTTTGTAAATTTAGCGATGATAGGTTTATGTATGTTGGAGTTATGCGTTGGACTGCGGTGGGTTATAGATATGTCGGAAGGTTTTATATCGACATTGATCGTTTTTTCCCAGTTCCAATATCAGATTGTCAGTGTCCTCGTTCTCTTGGGGGGCGATACCATGGAATTCCAAATTATTCAATCTGGAACGACTTTCTTGGTCCTCCAATTTATTGGTTACAAAAAAAAATTCTTCCTCAAGATCGTATACTAAATCTTCCAGATCTCTTATTCTTTTGCCATAGTGAGTGAGTTTTTCATCGGTTATCTTTTGATGGGCTAGAATTTGGTCATACTTTTCAGATTGGAAATTCTGAAAATCTTTGATAGTAGCTATATCATTTTTTATTTCTTTTAGGGATGTCATTTGAGATTCCATACTTCCTTAAGGCCTGGACTCAGGGGTATGTATTCAGAAGAAAAATTCGCAGAGCTGGTATTTCTGCTAGGCATTTTGCTATTAAAGATGGGAGTTGGTTCATAATGTTCCTCTGTATAGCTTCTTGAAGTCTTATCTGTAAATTTGAGTGTTCTTCTTGGAGTTCAGCAGTGGGAACAATTGGTGAGAGGGCCTAGATCTGGAAGGCTCCTACTTTAAGATTGCTTAGGCTTGGAGATGTTGCTGGATGAAGCCTTTGTCATTTTTTGCTGCATGACATATTGCTGTAGTGTTTGAAGTGTTGATGATGTTGGTCAAAGTGTTAGACTATCCAACTATTTTAAGGTTAAGTTAGAACCTTAATCAAAATAGCGAAAATGTCGCTGTATTTCCGTTCAAGGCAAAACGATGAGGAAATAATAAAATATTTGCACGCTTAGTCATTTTCAACGAATGCTCTGCCATATTCTGTTGTATATACAAATTTCTTTTACGTGACTTAGAAGGCTGAAAAGTCCAAAAACATTCAAAAATATAAGTCGTTCGTGAGTGTAATCCCTTCCAAAACTTATTTTAGCCATGAAATGTTTTGTCGTTAGCTAGCGTTGCCAACTGCCCTTTAATCAGCGTATAGTCCCAAAATTAAGCTTATCTTATCTGCAACTTAAGGAAGTTGCAAAGGACGCAGTTAGTACGTATCTTTTGGCATCGCTTTTACTATAAAATGTCGAAGAAATTACTTTTATACGGATCAGCATCGTATTGTCACAAGACTCACGACATGGCCAATTATTAAGGGCATAAAACGGCCTGTTAGAATTTAGAAAACTGTTATTGCCAACAAAAAACCATCAGTAGCCTAATTAGTAAAACATTTTTAAACTGCCAATTAAGGTTATTGTTTAATATTTGAGATTCCAGCCTACATATACGAATGCTGTCAATCATGTTTTGTCGACGTACGATTGAATCATCTCATTGGCATACACGACCAGTATAACCCATGGAAGTTGGTCGCAAGATAGTAAAGTTCAGTGTGGCGATCGGGTCGTGAATAAAGCGCCGTTAGGTCAGGTACCGAATAGTATGGCACCGTAGGTCAAAGATAGGTAAGTTCTGGCAGATAGGGCAGTGGGTTCTAGGATAAGTAGGTTGAGGGGGATAGGACAGTAGGTTGAAATGAGAGAGGTTGAGGGAGATAAAGCGGTGGTTCGAGGATGCGAAAGTTGGGGAGGTATAGCAGTGGTCGAGGTAGAAGATAGTGTAGTGGGTCGAGGATAGGAAGGTTGAGGGAGCTAGGGCAGTGGGTCGAGGATAAGAAAGTTGAGGGAGGTCGGGTATAGGTAAGTAGATGGAGATAGGGCAGTGGATCGAGGACAGTTTTAAGTGTCTTTAACGGAGTCCTGAGGCTCCGTACGGAGCACTTTGAGAACCCAAAGTCTACGTAGTAGGATAGATATAACAATGCAAACAACTAAGTAACGAATTTTTATCCGACTTTTGATCTCTTCAATTCTTCCCCTTTACACTCTACCATTGCAAAATTCTTGGTACTTATTTCAAGAATGGTTTTGCGAGTTTAGGACTTATATTTACCAAAACACAACTAAAATCTAACAAATAACACGCGAAAACCGACAAAACGAGGTAATATCACAACCACGAAGGACTGTCTGAATGGCAAAAGTATCTGAGCGCTTCTGAAACGTTTATTGTTACTTCAATTTTGCACTTATGTTGATTGGCCAATGTTACGGCAGTAAATAAGGAAGTGTATACTCGGGGAAACATTCATAATTATAATCAGATATTTATAAAGTTGTTATACATAAATACCCTGCACAGACGTGATTCTCATATTTATGGAAAATTTAAATTGTTTCGCGACCCAGAGCGACTCATTAATATATCCTTGTGGAGATAGAAGGTATGCGTATGCAAAACCGAGATGTGCACCTGTTATGCCAACATAGTTGAGTCAAATGTTTTAACGTAGTAAAACTACTACGTACGTAGTAACGCGCACAGTTTTGCGCACATGCATCAAATTCCACTTGATTATTGAGCTATAGGTTTTTGACGAGCTCTTGTGTAATGATTCATTCCATAGAATTTGTATGCTGTTCTAAAGAATACTAGTTTAAGCTTTTTCATTCATTCATATTAGTTCTCAGCTAACAGAATCCATTCACGTGTTGAAAGTAAGTTTTGTAATATTGCGTGTTGGTTTCCAACTCCTTAAATCGGTGATGCCAGTAAATCTTTAATACGAAAAGATCAGTAACATCTGCAATAAAAACAGCAGTACTCACTCAAATGACAGCTGGGGATAGATACTCTTAGTATCTGCTCCATCGCGTGCCTCTTACAGTCTTACCAGTTTACATGAGTGCCAATTGGTATCTAACCTCAGCCAGAGACAAAAAGTTTCGGACTGCAGTTGGCGTGACGAAATGTTTTTAAATATATATTCTACAATAAGATTATTTGATTGCATACTACTGAAAGTTCCGCCTTATATGTCTTTTCCCATTGCACTATTCCTTTACTGATATTCGATAATATGACCCTCATCTGACATAGTTCTTAAAATGTGTAGATG